ATTTTATTCAGGGTTCCTTTGTAGGCTAAAACGGGAGTATTTCTTTGCTTAATAATTCCATAAACCATTTAATTACGCAATTTAATGCAGAAAACAAAAATCAAGCCTGAAATCGTCATATTTCAGAGTTTTGGTACTCTTTACAGTCTTATCCTTTGTGGGTAACCCTGTATAAGATTGCATTGAAGAACTACGGTTAATATTTTGTTAATGAATACGGTCTAAGGTTTCGTTGAACGAAATTGGCAAAAATGAACGAACAACATTCGTTCCTTTTCGTTCAAAATTTTCGTTAATTTCGGAATATTTTCTTCAAAATTTTCGACCTCATTTTCAAGAAAATTTTTCATTTTCGCCAAATTTTCGTTCAATTTTTGTCCCATGAAAATCTAAATTTTCCATTTTGCATGAAGAAAAGTAAGTATTTTTGCGAAAAAAATAAGATTTTGAACAAAAAGACGAAAATTTTGATCGAAATTCGTGAAAATTTTATCGAATTTCGGAAATTGCGCGAAAATTTGGAAACCTTAATGCAGTGAAGATTTAGCTAAAGGATGGAGTCAAGACTTATTTAAAGGACGGAGTCAAGATTTATTTAAAGGACGGAGTCAAGATTTATTTAAAGGACGGAGTCAAGATTTATTTAAAGGACGGAGACAAGATTTATTTAAAGAATGGAGTCAAGATTTATTTAAAGGATGGAGTCAAGATTTATTTAAAGGATGGAGTCAAGATTTATTTAAAGGATGGAGTCAAGATTTATTTAAAGGATGGAGTCAAGATTTATTTAAAGGATGGAGTCAAGATTTATTTAAAGGATGGAGTCAAGATTTATTTAAAGGATGGAGTCAAGATTTATTTAAAGGATGGAGTCAAGATTTATTTAAAGGATGGAGTCAAGATTTATTTAAAGGATGGAGTCAAGATTTATTTAAAGGATGGAGTCAAGATTTATTTAAAGGATGGAGTCAAGATTTATTTAAAGAATGGAGTCAAGATTTATTTAAAAAACACAGCAAAGATTTAATTGAAGAACATAGTCAAGATTTAATTAAAGAACGTAGTCAAGATTTAATTGAAGAACGTAGTCAAGATTTAATTAAAGAACGTAGTCAAGATTTATTTGAAGAACATAGTCAAGATTTAATTAAAGAACGTAGTCAAGATTTAATTGAAGAACGTAGTCAAGATTTATTTGAAGAACGTAGTCAAGATTTAATTAAAGAACGTAGTCAAGATTTATTTAAAGAACGTAGTCAAGATTTAATTGAAGAACGTAGTCAAGATTTAATTGAAGAACGTAGTCAAGATTTAATTGAAGAACGTAGTCAAGATTTAATTGAAGAACGTAGTCAAGATTTAATTGAAGAACGTAGTCAAGATTTAATTGAAGAACGTAGTCAAGATTTAATTGAAGAACGTAGTCAAGATTTAATTGAAGAACATAGTCAAGATTTAATTGAAGAACGTAGTCAAGATTTAATTGAAGAACGTAGTCAAGATTTAATTGAGACAGTTTGATAATAATAGTTTTTGAAAGAATGTTTTTTGCTTAAAAATCTTTCTTTCTGTTATTTTGAAAAAAAGCCAATTAAAAGGTAGAAGAAAAATGAACGTTGTCAAGACTTATTTAAAGGACGGAGACAAGATTTATTTCAAGAAAGGAGTCAAGATTTATTTAAAAAAACGCAGCAAAGGTTCAATTGAAGAACTTAGTCGAGATTTAATTTGAAGGACGTTGTCAAGACTTATTTAAAGGACGGAGACAATATTCAGTTAGAAAACGGAGACAATATTCCGTTAAAGGACGGAGAAAATATTCAATTAAAGGACGGAGACAATATTCAGTTAAAGGACGGAGATAATATTCAGTTAAAGGACGGAGACAATATTCAATTAAAATACGGAGACAGTATTCATTTAAAGGACGGAGACAATATTCAGTTAAAGGACGGAGACAAAATTCAGTTGAAGGACGGAGATAATATTCAGTTGAAGGATGGAGACAATATTCAGTTGAATGACGGAGACAATATTCAGTTAAAGGACGGAGATAATATTCAGTTAAAGGACGGAGACAATATTCAGTTAGAGGACGGAGACAATATACAGTTTAAGGACGGAGACAATATTCAGTTAAAAGACGGAGACAGTATTCAGTTAAAGGACGGAGACAATATTCAGTTAAAGGACGGAGACAATATTCAGTTAAAGGACGGAGACAATATTCAGTTAAAGGACGGAGACAATATTCATCAGTTGGACGGAGACAATATTAAGTTAAAGGATGGAGACAATATTCAGTTTAAGGAAGGAGACAATATTAAGTTAAAGGACGGAGACAATATTAAGTTAATTGACGGAGACAATATTTAGTTGAAGGTCGGAGACAATATTCAGTTAAGGACGGAGACAATATTCAGTTAAAGGACGTAGACAATATTCAGTTAAAGGACGGAGACAATATTCAGTTAAAGGACGGAGACAGTATTCAGTTAAAGGACGGAGACAATATTAAGTTAAAGGACGGAGACAATATTCAGTTTAAGGAAGGAGACAATATTCAGTTGAAGGAAGTAAACAATATTAAGTTAAAGGACGGTGACAGTATTGAGTCAATGGACGGAGACATTATTAAGACAATATTCAGTTAAAGGACGGAGACAATATTAAGTTAAAGGACGGAGACAATATTTAGTTGAAGGAAGTAGACAATATTAAATTAAAGGACGGTGACAATATTGAGTCAAAGGACGGAGACATTATTAAGACAATATTCAGTATAAACGATTTTGTGTATTTGATGCTGTCAAAACAAACAACTGAAAAATTAACTTATCAATTGAAACAGTTCTGTGTACACTGCACAATAAATATGTTTGATGTTCATTTAAATATTTAAAACCATTACATAAATCTTACAGTCGTGTTCCTAAACCTAAGTCTAAAAACAATAACATTCCTAGCTGAAGGTGAGGGAATGAAAACAATAAAAATGTTTATCTCACGTGTTATCTAAACTAAATCATATTATTCCAAACTAAATAAGATTATTTTGTTTATCCATGTAGCCTCAAGCTTATTTGTAGACACAGATCAAATAATAATAGAAAGGAAACAACGCACATTGTATTTTATAAATATTATTTAGACGAATCGTTAAATAAATTGATCTTTTTAAAATGAATAAAAAGAATTATTAAGATTATTCTCTCATTTTTTTAACACATTTTATTTTTAGTTTTTTTTGTCTCTTTTGTTAAAAAATGTAATTGTTGTTATCCGACTTGTTGGTTTATCGTACAATCTGTATAATGTATACTTGTAAATGTGAAATTTATTCAAATTTGGTAAAAACTGTTAATTTCAAGTAATTCCCCCAAACCACACTATGAGAAAACTATTAAATACAAGTAATTTCCTCAAACCACACTATGAGAAAACTGTTAATTTCAAGTGATTCCCCCAAACCACAATATGAGAAAACTGTTAATTTCAAGTAATTCCCCCAAACCACAATATGAGAAAACTGTTAATTTCAAGTAATTCCCCCAAACCACACTATGAGAAAACTGTTAATTTCAAGTGATTCCCCCAAACCACACTATGAGAAAACTGTTAATTTCAAGTGATTCCCCCAAACCACACTATGAGAAAACTGTTAATTTCAAGT